ACGTTGCCTTCACTTGGCGTCTACTTTCTGGGAGCCTAAGTCGAGGTCGGCTGGTGAGAGGTGGGTCATTTAGATCACAGGTTCCCGAATGCATTCCACCTACTACCCCCTTTACAGGAAAAAATAATAATCAGTCCCCCCACCCTGGCAATTCCAAACTTTTGTACCATAGCACATCATCCAGGATAAAGCATAGGCGTCTGCTTTTGCAGTCCCCCTGGATTGTTCCAGGGCCCCCCAGCAGGCAGTATCACCTATTTGGGGAAACATTGGCTTAACTCGGTTCCCCTGTGCCCCTGCCCCCACCCCACCCCCCAAAAAAAACCACCACCGTCATTAAACTGTTTGGAATGGCAGCCTTTGAAGCAGTGTCCTAGAATACGAGGGGTACCCAAAAAACCCCAAAACTGCACTGGATGGAGCAGAACTTTTATAGTACACATTTTCCCTACTAGGTGAGCATTGGGCAACTTGCTCTGAGTTAGTGCACCCAGTGGTATCCTCTTGGAAGTTTCTAGTCACAGTGAATTTTCTCGTAACATCCGTTTCACTCAGACCTTGTATTTTGTGGTGGCTGATTTAAGAGAATGGCATGTGGCTGTGAAATTTTGATTCCTGCTTGGGGAAAAATGCACAGACTCTCTCGTAATATTGAACACAGCTCACAAGAGCAATGTCATGGGGAAAACGCAGGTGTACTAGTGGTTTTCTCATTTCAAAAAAGGTGAAATGTTGATTTATGACAATCCTCGTTCTGGACGTCCATCAACTTCCTGAACAGATGAAAATGTCAACTCGTAGTGCATTTGGAGTTCACTCCACCAGGTCAGACTGTTAATCAAGCTTTCTCTGTAGAGGCTCTGAAAAGATTGCGTAACAGTGTGTGACCAAAAAAGGCCTGGTTTGTGGCAGATGGGGAACTGGTTTTGCCACCACAACAATACACTTGCTCCTGCAGCCATCACCGTGTGCCCATTTTTGGCAAAAACCAGCATGCCTCTCTCACCCCACGCACCTGACTACCCGACCTCGCTCTATGTGACTTCTTGTCTCGTGAAGGCAGAGGGAGAAGAAAGGACAGTGATTTGATGAAGGAGAAGAGGAAAAGAAAAAAATGAGGGAGGTGCCATCAGCCATCCAGACAGATGGGTCTGAAAAGTGTTTCCGAGAATGGAATCGCAGATTTGACAAATGTATTAAGTGTAAAGGAGAGTACTTTGAAGATGATAAGGTTGTTTTGTAAAAAATTTAAATACATAGCTTTGAAAAAAATTCCATTTTTTGTGGGGGTGGGTGGGTATTCCCTTGTATTCTACTATGCGGATATCTGGGGATGAGTCTTCCCAGCGCCTGGGTACTTGGGCGGGCACCAGCCCTGGCTGTGGGACCAGGCTCAGCTTCACTGCCACCATTAAGCTCAAACCCATTCCCGGCACTTTGCTCCTGAGGCCACTGATCTGGGGACCCTTATAGTGGAAGAAGTGAAACTTCGTTGCTAACATAGGAAGCCCCCCACCCCACACTCAGAAATGCCACAGGACAGCACCTACCGAACAGCACCCACCGGCACACAGCGGACACCTGTTACCTGTTTCTCCACCGTGGATGCGTTCATGTGAGGGACCAGGCGGATGGAGAACTTGCCCACCACCTGGCCAGGAATGACGGTTTTGGCTCCAGGCTCATCGAAGGCGCCCTCGATCCCGTGAATAGAGAGAGATGGGTATCGCCAGAGGTGCATAAGGA